CGTTGAGGAAACTACAAGAATTCCCCGTATGGGCTAGAGCACGGAGAGCGATGCCGTTGACTTCGATAATTGCGATGGCATGTGCCTGGCAGGTAGGAGCTGCTGCAACGAATAGTGACGATAAAGTAGGCTTCGTTGTACAACTTGTATGGAACTTGGTGTTATTTTTTGAACGGCACTCGCGGCAGAAGTGACCGCGTTTACCACGAAGGTTGCAGGCGGCTTCTCGAGTGGAGCACTCTGGACGAGGAAATAACATGTCTGAATAGATTTTACAGCAGCAGTGGTCGGATCAACACGCAGTTCAGGATTCTGTGAAATTGGTGGAATCGTAGAGCAAGATATGGGTTCGTTACTAACATATGACTGTTTGTGAGCCTATTTGAGGGATCTAGCCAGCTGATATGTTTGGTCTAGAGTGAGTTCGCTCTGTGCTTGAAGTTTCTCGCGAATGGATGTGGACGCCAGGCCGTTAATTGTAGCATCCCGCACGCACTCATCTTGATATTCAGTTGCAGACAGATTTAAACTCAGTCTTTGCCTGATGATTTCAGTTTTTGTACGAACTGATCAATATCTTGTCCACTCTCCTGCTTGTAGGTCTGCAGCAGGTAGCGTGCATATATGACATTTTTCGGATGGACATATAATTTCCGTAACGTGTCGATTACAGATTCATAGTCGGTGTGATCAGCGATGTGATCGTATACTAGCGGATCCACAAAGTGGATGAGACTTTCAAGTTTGTTGGGTTTAGAAGATTCGACAGTTTTCAGATATATTTCGAAGGTACGAAACCAGTGATTCCAGCGTTTTGCTGCATCTGCGGAGTTAGTGTCTGCGTCGAAGAACCGAGGTCGTAGTTCTGGGTCCATTGTGTTCTTAGACAAGTAAATAGTGACGTTTAGAATGTGTCCGAGAACGAGTTAGAACAGAGTCCAGGTTTTCGAGGATAGGCAACGTTTTACCTGTCTAAGAACAAGCATGCGTGAGCTGAAATGTACATACAAAGGTTCAGTACGATTATATGTGGTAAGTATAAGAATAAGCACACAAAAATCATGACAGCACCTACACAGTGTAAGGTCATGCTTGTGGACGTGCAGTCACTGAACACGCCACTTACAATCCGGTGAGAGGTACTGGAAGTTGTGGAGCGTTTTACGTATCTTGGAAGTTGTATTAGTTCTGACTGTAGTGTGACAGATGAGGTGAATGCACGAATCTGCAAGGCTCGGGCC